TATGACCATTAGTTGCTATTTCTATAGGAAGGATTTCATGAGTAACATCTCTTGAAGACAACGGATGACCATCTGTGACTTCTATATGAACAAGTTTAGTTTTCTTTATTAAAAATATGCTATGTCTTTTAGCAAATTTTTCATCCAAGAAATATGTTGAGGCTCCTGAATCTAGCAAGGCAGAGGCTTTGAGATGTTTAGGTCCTAAAATGACATTTATCGTGAAATATAGAGAAAGTTCTGAAGAGAGGATAGGACCTTCACTAGGCGTTGTACAAGGTTCAAGCCGCACAATCCCTATTGTAGTTTGATAAACTCGTTTTTCGACATGATATCTTCTTTGATCGCCGTATTTCTTATTTTATAGTTACGTCGCTTCTTTAGGCAATGTTGAGCATTGTGCTTAGGTTCTCCACAATATAAGCACAATTCTTCTTGACAACGACAAAACTTTTCTTGCTCATTAAGAGGTTTCAAACGTACTACATCAATTTACATATCCTCTACTTCTGAATGTATGTGTTGAAGAGGTGTTGGTGTTGCCATTGAACTATAGTAACGTTGAGGTCCACTTGTACGGTTCTCAGATCGAAATTCAAAAAGGTTATTATCGCACTTCACAGCAAAGTCAATTGCTTGACTCAATGTTTGAGGATCAGGTAAGTTGAGCATTAATTTTTTTACCTCATATTATAATCTATAGAGAAATTGGCTAATAAGTGGAGCATCATTCCACTTGATATCAGTTGCAAGTTATGAAAATTGTAAAGCATACAATGTTACTGATCAATTGTCTTGTCATAAAATATGGATCTTATTGGTTGCAACATGAATTGCATCATGTTCTCCATACATGGATCGAAACTCTGCCAAAAAAGCCTCCAAATTATCTAATATTGGATCTTGTCATTCAAGAAAAGATAAAAATCACGATAGTGTTGAACCTGAAAGAAGCATACCAATGAATCTAACTTGCGATCTTGGAGTTGGATAGCTTTGGAGTTAAAGTTCAATGAGAAGTTACACTTGATTGATAAATCCTTAGAACTTGGATTTTGTGCCATCAAACTTTTCGGGTAGGGCAATTCTTAGTTCTCTAATACTAGAAGGTCATTCCTCTATAGGAGAAGAGACATGATTTGGTACAGATGTTGAAGCAGCTCCAACTATTTCTATATCTTCACTTCCTGCGAATCTTGTTGCTCCTTGTAGTGGTAAATTGAGTTGATTCATCGCAAGTATTAACTCTCTCAATTGCTCTTGCATTTGTACCATTGCACTCTTTATTTCAGCAAGTTCTGCCATGATAACACTTAAAAAAGAGAAGATGTCTAATATCGCTCAAGACAAATAGAAGAGAGGACTTAAGAACAAAGAAAATACTTAAGATAATATCAGTTTAGAAGAGGGTAATCCGCAACTTCTAATATGCTTGTGTCTTATGAAGAAAAAGGAACAATCCACTCTTAATCAAGATTAGACAAAGCTTTGATATTGTATGTGTACTCTTATCAATCTGTCAAGGACAAGAATATAATATAAAAAAATAAATAAGTGAGACTTCTCTCATAGAAAGATGACAAAATAAATATAACTTGATATATATATTAAAAAAGAAACTAGAATGGCTATTGCCAAAAGCCAAGAAAATTAGAGACCCTTGAAACTAGATTGGAAGCAAGAAAGGAGTTGAGAAGAGTGAAGAAGGCTTTACTCTTATCTCTATATATACTATCTAACTATGGACTATGTGGGGACGTTTTATAGGACCTCCAATATGTGTTTACTTTGTAGGATACATGCCTTGACTTACAAGGCAAGTTTTTCTACGTGTGGGCTACATTGCTAGCTTGGTCTTCAAGCTAACAACATGTGTGGCACATGGCTAACTTTTTGACCACATTTTTAATCCCAAAAAGTCAATTAAAGATACTTGTAAAGTCAAAGCAGCATCTATTAAGCTTCTAGGAAGCTTTTATATCAAATACTATAGAATTAACTTATTTTTACCTACTTTTATATACTTCTACTTATTTATATATGTAATTATTGGCTTATATGTATATGTCCATGACACAAGGTCACATAGCTCTTAATTAGATAATATATATAGAGGCAAGAAAGAAGCCTTCTTTATTCTTGTTAATGTCTTTTTAGTTTTTATTCTTATTTCAAGACTTTTTAGTCTTCATGTCTTTGGCAATAGGTATTTTAGTTTTATATTATATCATTTTTGAGTGATTTTTTATTTCTTTTAAATAACACAAAAGTGTATTGAGGATTTCTTTCTTTGAGATTTATGTCCTTGACATTAACACTTTTATCAAACTATCAAAGATATGAATGTCATAAAACCAAAAATTCAATATATTCTCAAGTAATTTTTTAAAAAATGATATTTTCTTTAAAATAATATAATATTAAATTTAGAATGGTTATTACTAAAGACAAGAAGGTAAAAAAATCTTAAAATAAGATTAAGGACTAGAAAGACATTGATAAGAGTGAAGAAGGTTTTACTCTTTCATCCATACTTATTATTTAACTAAAAGCTACATAGCAATATTTTATAGGACCTCCGACACGCGTCAATTTACAAGATATGTGTCTTAACTTGTAAGACAAGTTTCATACACGTATTCCACATTATTAGCTTGTACCATAAGCTATCACTATATGCAATATGTGACTAATTTGTTGGCTAAGTATCTAATCTAACAATCATGTACAGACATGTATAATGGCAAAAATGTATTTACAATAAAAATTTATTTATAAGACATTATGAAATTAACCTAATTTTATTTATTTTTATATATTTATATTATCTAGGTAATTATTGGAGTAAATATATATGTCTATGACAATCTTTAATTTTAAGACTTCTTAATCAATTAAATCAAGAAAAGATTTAAATCAAAATAAATTTATAATGAGCATAAAATCTTATATGTATCAAAGAAAGAGATGAATAAAAGACTATAATTTAAACCAAGTATGGACATTTTAAATATAATATCATGCCTTTTAAATTCACAATTATATCAATTATTTTTTAAGATCTTATAGATGATATTTTCTAAAGACATTTAGATGTCACCATTCTTGAAATGAATTCATATTTTAATATCAAATTCTTATGATTTCATATTTGTGATAATGGATTGTTTTACTAAGATGGCACATTTTATATGATGTATAAAATCTATTGCAAGTAAAGAAACAAGTAAACTTTTTCTTGATAATATTTATTGTTATTATAGATTACCAAAAAAATATTATATTGAATAGAAGGATTTAATTTGTATTGAAGTTTTAGATAATCCTTTTAAAGATTTTAAAGATAAATATAAAACTATCTTTGACTTTTCATCCTCAAACTAATGGACAAGAAAAACAAGTGAATCAAGTTTTGAAGTAGTATTTGAAATGTACCATCAATTACTATATAGATGATTAAACAATTCTTTTTCCATTTATAAAATTTACTTATAATAACATGATACATTCTTCTACTCAATAAATATCTTTTTTTGTTAATTATGATTATCATCTATAATTTGATATTTTTTACTTCTTAAAAGTTAATAAACTAAAGACAAAAGATTTAGCAAATCATTTATTAAAGCTACATATAACAATAAAGGCACAATTAAAGAAAGCTCAAGAATAATAAAACATCAATGTAGATGTCTATTACAAGGAACAATATAAATTCCATATATGTAATAAGATATGATTACTTTATTATAATATCAAGACTAATTACTTTTATATGATAAATTGGATTATTGAAAACTTGGACTATTTCATATTTGTAAATAGATCAATCCAATTGCTTATTAATTCGACCTATCAAAGTCTATGAATATCCATCCTGTGTCTCTCCTTAAATCATAAAAAACGATATATATTCTAGGAAGAAAATAAGTGCCATGTTCTCCTATAAGATAGGACAATAATCAAAGTCTCTAAATTCTTTAAGATATACAATAAGGTTGTAAAAATTTATCTTAGAATTTCTTTTACTTTAAAAAGACTACTATATAAGCAATCTACAACTCAAATACTTAACTTGTAAGCATTAAAGACCTTAAGAAGCTTTTGTATGGAGTTTTTAATAGCTACTATATATGTAGTGAAGTCTAAAGCTATTTATAGACTTAATAAGGCCATTTAAATATTTTAAATTAAATTTAAGACTTTTTATTAGATATATATATATATATATATAAATTATTATTTTAGTATTTTTTATCTTTTATTTATATTACATCTTCATTTACTTTCTTTTTTTTCAATGATGTATGAATGCATTGTAGTTTTTAAGTTTTGTTTAGATTTATATCTTTAATACTCAGCAACCAAACTATATGATGCTTCTATAGCAAATTTTTAAAGGTAAAAAACTTTTCATAAAAGTTTTATATCTATGTAGTATATCTATTAAAATGCATAGATCTAGTTTATTTCTAATAAGCTTTTAAATGTTCAATAGAGATTTATATTTTTAACAATACAAATTAAATACTATTGATTAAAAATAATGATGGTAATAATAATAATATTCTTTTTTTAGTATTTTCATTTTTTTAAAAATTTAAAATGTAAAAATAATTATTATAAAAAAATTATGGTTGCAGTTATTACTACTTCCATTCAAATTAAATAAACTAGTATTAATATATATATATATATATATATATATAGATGAATTAAGGTTGATTTTCTTATTAATCACATTATAAAATTTAATAAATCCTTTACACCTTCAATGTAAATATATAAGAGGCTCAGTTTCAAATTGTCATATATATTTGACAAACATATTGAGAATTTCGAATTGGCAAAGTCTTCAAAATGTTCAATACAAAGCTGATAATTCTTTCTTTTAAAAAAAATATGCGCAAGAAAAGAAAAAAAAGAAAAAAAAAGAAAAAAAAAAAAAAAAAAAACTGTTAAGTTGTTCAATTATTCTATTTTCTGCAAAACGTCGATGATTCCTACACACCATCTCTTCTCAACTTCGAAAGAATCATTCCCAAACTTGGAAAACGCAAAAGACAGTCCTAACGATGGCGGCTGACCCCAAAACAAGGACGCTCGTCGCCGCGCGCAGCCTTGAGCTGATCGCGACGCATGAATTCCTCGGGGAGATGCCAAACCCTCCTCCTCCGCTGCCGTTGCAGAATCCCACCTCAAGCATCATCGCATTGTTCCACTCCATCCTAACGACCCAGCTATCCCTGTGCTCGGATTGCTCCTTTAGAGCTTCGACCTCACCCAACGCTCAGTGTTTCCATCCTCGCCAAGAGCTCCGGTGCCTGATCACGCTCTTCTATTGGTTTCGAGTTGCAGAGTCTTGCTTGGTGGATCTGGTGTGTAAGCGGGAGCGCTCAGAGCTCATTCTCCAGCTTCCCGCAGTCATGGCATTCGCCGAGAAGTGCACCCCAATGGTGCCCGCATTTCTCTACTCGACCGTGGCTCGCAGGACTGGCATTTCTGCTCTCCCTTCGCTGTTCCAGACCATGACCACGGAGGCCAGCAGCAATGTGGCCCCGGCGTACACCTCCTCCAGCTTGTTCAAGCAGGTGGCCAGCGCCGCGAAGACCTCCACCGGGGTGGCGTCGTCGGTGATGGTGCCCTCCCCCAGTGAGCCGGGCAAGATTGTGATGTTCTCGGGCGAGTACTACCGCGCGTGCGCCGTGGGAGGGATGATGTGCTGCGGGCTGACGCACATGGGGGTGACGCCCATCGACGTGGTGAAGTGCAACATGCAGATCGCGCCCGAGAAGTACAAGTCGATCTCGAGCGGGTTTTCGTTGCTGGTGAAGGAGCAAGGCGCCGTGGGGCTGGTCCGCGGATGGGTGCCGACTCTGATGGGATACAGCGTGCAGGGCGCTTGCAAGTACGGGTTCTACGAGTACTTCAAGAAGACGTATTCGGACATGGCCGGGGCCGAGGACGCCAAGAGGTTCAAGACGTTGATCTACTTGGGGGCGTCGGCGTCAGCGGAGGTGATCGCCGACGTCGGGCTGTGCCCATTCGAGGCCGTGAAGGTGAGAGTGCAGACGAATCCGGGATTCGCGAAGGGCATCATGGACGGGATGCCGAAGCTGATTGCGTCGGACGGCGTGGGCGGGCTGTTCAAGGGGTTGGTGCCACTGTGGTGCCGGCAGATCCCGTACACGATGATGAAGTTCGCGACATTCGAGAGCACGGTGGAGGCAATCTACAAGTACGCGGTGCCGGTGCCTAAGAGCGAGGTGTCATCGGGCACCCAGTTGGGCATCTCGTTCACTGCCGGGTACATTGCGGGAGTGGCGTGCGCCGTGATCTCGCACCCCGCGGACAACTTGGTGTCGTTCTTGAACAAGTCGAAGGAAGCAACGGTGTCGGGGGCGGTGAAGCAGATGGGGGTGAAGGCGTTATTCACTCGCGGGCTGCCGCTGCGTATCATCATGATCGGTACGTTGACGGGAGCGCAGTGGGGAATTTACGACTCGTTCAAGGTGTTCGTGGGTCTGCCGACGACGGGCGGTGTGGTGGAGGAGCCCAGGAAGTTAGCGTAGGGGGTAGTAGCGTAGAGCTGGAGGCATCGTGAGGAGCAAGCACAAGACGGTGAGGACTGGAAGGCGTTTTTCTTGAGCAGCCAGGGGACAGAAAGGAAGCATAGAAGGATGCGAGTCATTCGGGGCACCTTGCGGGAGCAACGAGAGGGGCGCGTGGGATATGTTTGTGATATCCTGTGGCGTGAGGCGAATGTTTGGGTAGGCAAGATCGAATAGGTCAGGAGTAGATTCAGGAAGAGCGAAGGTTATGGCAAGTCCCCTTGCACTTGTGGGAGCTAGCATCGGCGAGCAGAGGTAATAGGGTTGAGAACAGATCCGACGAGATGGTACATTCAATTGAGGACATATGACACGCTGGTGTTGTCGCTTTGGTGACGATGGTATTATTTTTGAGGTGAGATGAGAGATAAATCAGAAGTCGACGAAGCGCAGGCTGAACATGCGCTGACATCACGGGTCGGCAGTTTAGTAGAAGGCTACACGAAATTGCGTACTTGGGTGATGCTTGAATGTCAACTTTACTGAGAGGGCTTTGATTTGGCTGGGTAATGTTGTGATGGGTGCAAAGCGTTGTGAACAGTGAAGTTCTTGTCATGAACCGATTATTTTACAGTGGGCTTGTGTGCTTGAAGTGCACTTGTGTCTGGCCCACTGACATTGCTGTGTGCTTTTGCCATCCAGTGACGCTGTTGTTAGAGACAAGCTGCCCCTCTCTGCCTTACATCCTTCAGATGTTTTGATTGTTCCCACATGGACAACCAGTGTAACGTCAGGTTCTTTTGGTCCTGCCTGAAATGTTAATTGATACATAATTGTGTGCTATTAGTTGACTTGGTTATCTTCTGGTTGAATTATTGTGTACATACAGTGTGCAGCAAAACTGAGTCAAACTCTTGTAATTCGTGATTCAGTCAACAATGTAGAGAAATTGGCAATAGGTGATCACAAACCATAAATTGTGTAAGGTAATGGTTTGGGCATGCTACATTTTGATGGAAAAAAATATTTCTTTTTCATTAATAGGTATAAGAAAATTACATTGAACAAATACCATGTTCTTTAATTCATTTTTGCACTTGTCATCACAAAACAATTTAATACTTTGCTCACCTGCCTTTATTAGTCAAAACAATTTGTATTTGCTTTGGCATGCTTTCATACAACCTTCTATACTTCTTTAGTGTAATTGAAGCCCAATATTCCTTTATACTCCCACAACTCTAAAATTCTTATTGGAGCACTTTGATATTAATTGGAATGGTGTTTTAGCCTTATTCAAAGATGTTCAATTGGATTTGAATCAAGAGACTATGCAAGCCACTTAAGAATATTGAACTTTTGTGATTTCAATTATTGTTAGACATTTTTTCTTTTATATTTAAGATTGTTATTATGTTAAAAATTAATTAGAAAAGATCAAGGTCATTAGTCATTATAGTGTATAATAAATCTTTTTATAAGGTTTCGTTGTAATAAAGTTAAACCATTCTTCTTTCAACTCTACAAATAATGCAAAGACCTTGGAACATCATACAACTTAATATTAGGGACTATACATAAAACAAGGATTCAAGACCAAGGAATGGAGTTAGCTTGACATTAAAACAATAATTGGATACAAAGCAAGAAGGTCCTGGCTAAATCACAAGAAGTGAATTATTGAGACTAAAGATCCCCTCAGCCTCGACTCCTATATATACTATGTCCTAGAAAGCTTCTTGAAAAGTTTCCATGAGACTTGGGCATAAAGCAAGCCTAAGATCCTTCTTCAACAACTTCCTAAATCATCTAAAGCTTCCAAGAATCTTCCAAGATCTCTTATGGCCTTCTAAAATTTTCTTAGAATCTACTAGATGTCACGGACACAGAAATACAGACTTGAGATCTAACAAGAAGTTAAAGAAGAACTGGCAAGAACTAGATTAATCAGATGAATACAAGAACAACACTAGAGAGGTGAGCTAGAGCTCCAAGAGATGTATTGTCGAGACTGAAGAACTCTTCAGCCTCGATTCCAATATATACTCCTATTTAGGAAGCTTCTCAAGCAACTTCTACCAACTAGGAAGCTTCTAGAAGGTTCCAGAGACTTGCTTCTTACAAGGTTCTAGAAACTTATCTCTAGAAGGTTCTAAGGACTATGTCCTTAACATCTTCTACCAACTAAGAAGCTTCTAGAAGGTTCCAGAGACTTGCTTCTAGAAGGTTCTAGAAGCTTGTCTCTAGAAGGTTCTAGAAACTTGTCTCTAGAAGGGTCTAAGGACTATGTCCCTAACATCACCCCCTCCTTTAGCTTCGAGGTCTCTGAGAAGCAATGTTGTTGATCAGTAGCAACGCAAGAAAATGAAGATCTGTCGCATAATGTCTGCTATGAACTCCAACTGTTGTTCACGAGGTAAGTGGTTCATCGACCCTTGAAGCCAATGGTAGTGGCCCACTCCTTCAACTTCTGACCAAGCATGAACTTCCGTGTGTTCATTGTAAAATTGTCCTACAAATATGCCTTCTGGTTGACCATCGTAAGCAGGCTCGAACTACAATACAATCACCAGTGATCGGTTACTTGGTATCCTCCGTCGTCGTCGTGGTGAAGGTGGTTCTTCATCTCGGGATTGCCTTCGTGAGCTAGTCGGTTGAGATAATCTAATTGGCATAGTATCTATCTCTTGGCTATCCATATAAGAAGACCAAATTATGGCTACTGAAAAAATTCTATTTTATCTTAGAGAAAATAACTACATCAACTACAAATTTTGGTGATGCTCTCCCCCTTTCTTATATTCTTGAATAAACAAGCTTCAGCAAGAAGCTATCGTCAAACCGGCTTAGGTTTATGAGGATGTTGTTGATGAAACTCCTGTACCTTTTGCGGCACATTGGCGAGATTTTCAGCTAGCTCCCACGTTCGCTCATTAATATCATAACCGCACCAATGAACAAGATACTCCAACTTGCCGCACCTTCGCCGTGAATCCAGTACTTTTTCAACCTCGTATTCCTCGTGGTTCTCGATCTCAATACTAGGTAGTGGACATTGCACTCTTCCAGGAAAAGATGACTCTCGATAAGGCTCCAACAAAGAAACATGAAAGACTGGATGTACCTTCAAAGAAGCCGGTAATTCCAGACGGTACGCCACTGGATTGATTTACTTCTGGATAATAAATGGTTCCAATCTTCCATAGTCCAACTTATCATATGGTCACTTGGTCTTGATATTCCGTCGAAGAAGCCATGCTTTATCTCTAATTTTGAAAGTAGGTGCTTGATTCCGTAATCTATCTGCATACACCTTGTAGGATTTTTGAGCGGATTGTAATTGAAGCTTCAACGTATTTTGAAGCTCTGATAGTTGTTTTGCAAATCCTTCAGCTCCTGGATTGTTATTTATTGATGGATTCAATAAATCAAGCTTCGGATGATACCCATAGTTGGAAAAGAATGGTGTGTATTGAGTCGACGCATGGAGGGTGTTGTTATATGCAAACTCAACTAGCAACAGATATGTGGTCCAATCGTCTTGCTGATAGTTGATGCTGAATCGTAAGTATTGTTCCAAGTCTTGGTTCACTCGTTCCGTTTGGCCATCAGTTTGAGGATGAGAAGCTGAAGAAAGCTTGATATCCACCTTCAGTATCTTAAAGAGAGATCTCCAAAACTTTGATACGAACTGGGTTCCTCGATCTAATACGATATCATCTGGTAGTCCATAATAACGATACACATTATCGAGAAAGAGCCTTGCTGTGACTTCACTGGACGATGTTTTCTTGCAAGGGACAAAGTACGCCATTTTTGTAAGCCGATCTACCACGACAAAGATGCTGTCAAATAAGATCGATGATGGCAGGTCCATGATGAAGTCCATGGAAATTGAAGACTATGGTCGATGTGGAATCGGCAATGGTTGTAGGAATCCATAAGGGTGATGCCGAGGATTCTTGGATCTTGAACAGATGTCGCAGGAGAGGACAAAATCTTTCACATCCTTCCACATTTGGGGCCACCAAAAATCTCGAGAAATAAGCTCCAAGGTCTTGTTGAATCCAAAATGTCCTGCAGCTCGAAAATTATGGCCGGATTGAAGAACTCGGAGTCGTGTTGGTCCTTTTGGGATATATAACCGCTCTTCAAAGTATAAAAGATCTCCATCCACCTTGAACTTGTCGTCATTGGCACGCTGCTTAATATCAATGGCTACTGAATCTTCAATGGTCATGGCAGGTACCTGATTCAGGAAGTCAGCATCAATTGGCACAATAGTAGCGCAAAGCTAAAATTGCTCTAGCTTCAACAATATCGTACATTGTTGATCAAACGATGCTTCTCCAACCTTTGGTACAAGATATAATCTCATCGATAAGGCATCAGATAGTCCTTGCTGCTTTCCAAGTCGATAAGTGATAAGAAAATCGAACCTAGATAGCAACATACTCCACCGAGCTTGACATCGATTTAAAACTCGAGCCGACATGAAATACTCCAAATTCTTATGATTTGTGTATACGGTCACTGGATGTGTAGCTCCTTCAAGAAAGTGACGCCATTCTTGGAAAGAATCCACTATAGCAAGAAGTTCCTTATCGTGGATTTCATAATTGATTTCAGCAACATAAAACTTTCGAGAATAGAATGCAATTGGATGGAGCTTCTTGTCTTCTCCCATTTGTAAAAGTACAACTCCTAAAGCAAAATCCGAAGCATCAGTTTCTAAATAAAAGGCCTTTGTAAAGTCTAGATGTACCAAGATTGGAGCTGTAGTAAATGCGGACTTTAGATCTTGAAATACCTTCTCTGCTAGAAGTCTCCATTCCAGCTTATCCTTGCATATCAACGGAGTGAGAGGAGCAGCAATTTGAGAGTAATTCTTGATAAAGATCTGATAGAAGTTGGCAAAACCAAGAAAACATTGTACGTCTCTAACTGTCTTCGGAACCTCCCAGGACACGATTGCTTCTATCTTCTTGGGATCCATCTTCAAGCCTTCCGTAGTCGCAACAAACCCCAAAAACTCCATCTCTATTTGGTGAAATAAACACTTTTCCAACTTGGCATATAGTCCTCGCTCGCGTAGTTTCTCCAAGACCAAATGAACATGTTTTTCATGCTCTTCCTCATTTTTGGAGAATATCAAAATATCATCCAAATAGATGACAACAAAATCGTCAAGGTACTCTCGAAAAATATCATTCATCATATGTTGAAAGACCGCTAGAGCATTGGTAAGACCAAAGGGCATGACATTATACTCAAAATGGCCATACCTTGTATGGAACACTGTCTTCCACTCATCTCCTTCCTTGATTCGTAGGAGGTTGTAAGCTCCACTTAGATCAATTTTTGTAAAGATCCCTGCACGGCCAAGTTATTCTAAGAGACCAGAAATCAAGGGTAAGAGGTAGCGATTCTTCTTTGTTACCTTATTGAGGCCTGGATAGTCCATGCACATCCGCAATGAGCCATCTTTCTTCTTCACAAATAAGATGGGTGCTCCAGTTGACGATTTTGAATGACGGATGAAGTTTTGGCTAGATTCTCATCGATGTACTTCCGCAACTCTGCCAACTCCGTCTGCAATAGATTGTAGATTGGGCCAAAAGGCGGTTGTGATCCTTCCTGTAAGTCTATGGCGCAATCATATGGTCTGTGTTTTGGTAGCATGTCGGCATTTTTCTTTTGA